TCTCATATTTCCTGTGTTTTTCACGATTTTCCTTCTTTTTTTTCTCCAGTTGCAGTCCACCTCCCATCCCTAATTTCATATTTGAGTGGGGCTGCCACATCATTTTGAGCCTGTTCGTTGTATTTAATGGCGCTCATGTCCTTGGGGAGGAGGGGACATGAACTTAAACACTTAAAAACCGCTGCTAGGTGACACTAGGACTGAGGCCAGGAGGAGAGAGGAGACGCCAGCGAGAACAAGTATAACCCACATTTTTTCCAGAATCCCTTCCCTCTGAAGATTAATCTCGAGTGCCGCAAAATGCTCACTCACTTGAATGTCCTTCTCCCCAATGACATGAGCGCCTCCATCAACAATGATGGATGAAAAGTTGAAAACGTACCCCTTTATTTTCAGTGGTGCTGGTAAAACGACGTTACTCAACACGTTTCTTCATCGGAATCTCAAAGGGCTTCATGTAGAGGGACGTGTAGAAATCAACGGCAACGCGGTATCTATTATATTTGCTTGTGTTCCTCTGTTCCTGTTTCTTTCGTGAATATTTTTCAATTTATACTGCTGTCAGATTGGCCGTGGGATAACAGGCCATATCGGGATATGCCCAGCAAGAGGAAATGTTTGTCGGCACCTTAACCGTTCGAGAATATCTATCTATTCAGGTAGTGTTTCAGTAGATATGCACCTTTTCGTATCTTCTTTCTGTTTATGGAATAGCTCTTTTATTTGGCAGTAGTTGGTCCCAAATAATAAGGAGTGTAATTCAAGTTGTTTGCAGGCACGGCTTCGGACAAATCTGTCGCAGGAAAGGCGAGAAAAGCGTGTCAATGTGATCTTGGCTCAGCTTGGGCTGACAAAATGCCAGAATAACCGGATCGGTGTTGCAGGCGTTCGGAAGGGCATTTCGGGTTAGTAAAGCCTATGAAATTCCCGAAAGTTGAATCGGCTCAATCCTCTTTGGGCTACGGGCTACGATGACATTTGGCAAGTTCCAGCTCATTTCAGGAGGTGAAGCACGTCGTTTGACCTTCGCATGTGAGCTGCTTTCAAATCCAGGGATTCTGTTCTGTGATGAGCCAACCACAGGACTGGACTCATTTATGGCCGAGCATGTCGTCGTGTTCTTTCGAAATTGGCGAATAGTGGACGGTTCGCATTTTGACTCGATTTGGGGTCTCCTGAAGTAGTCTCATTCGATTTCAGGACCATAGTGTGCACGATACATCAGCCTGCATCGCAATTGTTCCTGATGTTTGATCGAGTGATTTTTAGGTGACTAACTTATTTAAAGGAGGAATTCACGATTAGAATGAAGGTCGAAGAAAGGGAAACTGACCTAGTTGAGGGACCCACGGACCTCCTGAGGGTGCGAACTGACGCGCAATTCGCATGGAAAAATTTGACCTCGGCGACCTATCATGCCTCAAAGCTGGCGGGTCGGCGATCTCCGCCCACCGATCATCTGATCACTCGCCGTAGTTCAATACGTGGCGAGTGATTAGATAGCTGAGAGAGCGTAGTGTTGAAGAGGGCACAGCGATGAGAGTCGCATCAATGCTCGAATCAACGGGCAAGGAAGGGGTACCATTTCTCGGGTTCTGGGCCGTTTCTCATGGTTCTTCCTTCTTTCGTGTACCACTCACCATCCCTAGGTTAATTTGAAATGGGTTGCTTTTCATCGTGAATTCGTCCTTTAATGAACAACTTTGAAGGGTTTCCAGGCTAACTTAGTTGGGGGACCACGCGGCGGCGCGGCGCTTTGCTCGCCTGGCATCTTTGCGTACTTCGGGAAATCCGTGAGCCAGGGGGACTGTAGGCAGTCTAGGGGGGTGGGGGTGAGGCAGTCACTTGACATGCGTGAAAAGCTGGAATGTTCGAGTTCACACTATCTCGCTCGAGAGAGCGCCAGGTGAGCAGAGCGCCGCGCCGCCGCGGGTTCCCCCCCCCCCAACCCACTTAGCA